TGTGCAGACGCTTACTGTGCGTGCCCCTGTACTTCGGCATCGCTTCTAACCGGGACTGCAGCTTAACACAGAGTTCAGTGAGATCCGGCCTACGAAATTGCGGCGACCGTACAATCCATCCAGAGACACCGCCAACGACGCCATCTTCTTCGTCGGACATGAGGCCGACGGTGGCGGACTTCCAGAGTTCCACTTCCTCATCTGCTAGCACACTCTGCCTCGCTTTCAGCAGCTGAAAAAAAAACAATGAATCAGCGCACTGCGTATGGACACAACACATCTATCAATGCACCTGAAAAATAGTCACCAAATAAAGTCTTACACTCTTTCTTCTAGCCCGACTCCGAGCAGATTGCTTGGCAGCCTCCGCACGCAACGTGTTGGCTGGCTGCGTGTATCTGAAGCTCCTGCGTACCGTCTCAAAATACGTCTTACAGGCAGCTGGAAAACAATTAAATGAGAGTGGTATGAATAAAAAAATCAAACGCAAGTCACAGTAACAAGGAAGGAGAAAACATTAAAACAAGTCACTTACACACAATGTTGTCTTTATCAACATCGTGCAAATCTGGACTTGCTGATATGGCTCCGAGCAAATAGGAGGTCTGTGAAAACAAAATGTAAAGCTATGATCGGTATCTATCCGTATCCATTTCCTTTTACCGCAGAATGAAAGCATATTCTTTAAATCTTACCCTTGCTCCGGTTCATAGAGCCTGCAATTAGTCTCCGAGTTGTGAAGACGGCATTCTGCTTCCTGTGAATCACAAAAAATACACTTTAATAAAGCTTGTTCTTGCAAGGCTACTATTAGCCGTAGCTTTAGGCTAGGCTGCTATTAGCCGTAGCTTTAGGCTAGGCTGCTATTAGCCGTAGCTTAGGCTAGGCTGCTTTTAGCTTAGCAGGCAGTAATCGAACATATATTTACCGCTAGCATCTCTTCTTTGAGTTTGTCTTGTTCGATGCAGAGTCGCCATCGCGTCCAAGAGGAGTTTTACCCCGAAATCCCACATACTCCGCTCCAGACCGCCTGCACAAAGCAAAGCATACATCCTCCGCTGTGGCTGCAGACTGCGCTCCGCTCTGAGTTTCTTGGAGATCGTAGAGAGCATGCGCGAGATGAACCAGGTTTTCCGTGGATCAATAAAAATAATTAAAAAATCATTCTTTTTTTTTTTTTAAATCAAGGCCTTAATTGGCACTAAAATGCTTATAAAAACAATTTCGTCAGATATATCGCTCCAGGCGGAGAAAAAGCTAGAGGATATATATATACGTATATATGTGTGTGTGTGTGTGTTTACATACATACAGGAGTCATGGAACTCTGCTTACAGCTCCTTCATACTCATTTACACTAATAACTTGTGTACATGTTTCTTGTTGATGGCATTAAAATCATTTCAAATAGCATTAAAATAGCATTAAATTAGAGTCACTCATTCCTGTATTAACCCTATGAGCGCTTAATTTAATATGACATATTAAAAAAATCCCACCATCATCCAGCATATGTTCAGTTTCTGCCCAAATATATATATATATTTTTTTGTAGATTTTTGTAACGGGGATAAGGATAATTCAAAACTGCTTTTTTTGAATGAACTTGTTCTCTACTCCCAAACTCAGCATCTCTTTTCATTCCTGTAATAAGAGGTTTCTTTTGAATGGATTTGATTAAAGTTTAAGTCACTCGATATAAAATAAATATTTTGATGGAGATGAGAAATCTGCTTCCTCGTTGGTGAATAACCAATAGTTTGGATCCAATCATTTAAATAAACGGTGTTAGATTTTTTTTTTATATATATAGGAATTGTGCTATAATTTCTAGTCACCGATCTGTTGCTGCTATATTTTAATTTGACGAACCGGAATTTGTCGATGTTCTTTTTCCTGTTTGGTGCGATTGCAATTGCAGACCATGACCTGGCCGGACCTTATGACCACAGTGTACCAATCTTCTGATGGCTACTTCCAACAGGATAATGCGCCATGTTATAAAGTGAATCATCTCAGACTCATTTCTTGAAACTTTTCCACTTAAGTAATTGTGAATTGAGCATATTGACAGACAACATTTTATTTTTTTATCTTAAATGCAATTTTTTTTTTTTTATAATTACTGCTCTAAATGTATTGCTCTGTCAGCTAAAGATCTGTTTTGGTCTCTATACTTTAATTAAATAAATCAATGCAAGCTAAAATGTAAGAGGCTATACTGAGCCTGATCTCTTTGTATCAGAGATTTTCATACCTTTTAGAAAAATGTCACTTGTAGTAAAATCCCCCCTGCAACCCTGATTTGCATTTGTATAGCTCACAGCATGTTAATTTACATGTTAAAGCCTACCCTAGAATTCCATGGCATGGGGGGAACACTTTACGGGAGTTTTCGGCGAAGCCTGCAAATTGCCGTAAACTGCCGCTAACCTGAAGTTCCACGACAATCTACAGTGCCGCATATTGACGAAAATCCCACTTTTCATGCAGTGTTAAATGCAGAAATGCAGTTAATTTTGATGTTCTGAACTTGTGAAAGAGTAATGACAATAAAACTCTGGGGAAAAAAAATTATGATGAAAACAATGTAAAATAAAGTCTGACTATAATGTTCTCAATTCCTCAAAAATGCAATTATATAGGAGTTACTCAGAGGAGCAAATATTGGTTAGGGGTGTCTGAAGCTCCTTTCATTCCTTTAGTGGGAAATAAAGTTCTTACTGTTGAACATATGACAGGAAAAACAACAGCAGCTTTGATTTGATGAATCCGGATCAAACCTCAGACAGAGAAGCTGATTGACCAGAAGGACGCCCAGCATTCATTTCCCAAACACTCAAGGAGTAAAGAACAAGTAAAAGATGTCTACAGGGAGCAGCAGGAAGGTGACGCGATGAGGACAAAAAAAAGGATGTACATAGTAGAGAGGCAGGAAGGGAGGCAGAGGAAACAGGAGAAATAAGGACGGCTTTATGATTCAGCAACATCCTGGCAGAGCAAAGATGACGAAGGGCCCCATGGGGTGAAGGAATACTCTCATCAGCCCTGCTCCTTATATTACATCATCAAACTTGCAGGTTTCTCCAGGTAGCTGATTGGTTCAGAGCGCACCGTCAGAGTGGAAGAGGAGAGCGGGTAAAAAGCACTGTTTCCAGGTAATAAAGGTACTGGGCTTCAAACTCAAGGCCCACAGGCCAAATCTGGCCCCTCGCAGCAAGTGAGGAGAGCTTCAGGCTGAATTCAGAGCTAAAAAGTTTGGTCTGTTTTAAACGGACTGGATGTGCCCTCTTTCATCTTTTAACATGAAAACTGACTCAGAGCCTGTCAGTTTAACTGTCAGCTCATCAGATAATTTACTCTTAGCTTTCCTAAAGTAGAAAGCATTCATAGTTCTTTCCCATGTTCCTTTTCGGTCTGCTTCTCTCTCCTTCAACCCCAGTCAGCCTTGGAAAAAGTCAGTTCACTCTGAGCCTGGTCAGGCTAAAATTTCCTCTCCACTGTCGCTACATGTATGCTTGGTGAGGGATCGCTACAGAGCGGAGGTCTTCAACAGGGGTTCATGACCCCTAGGGCGTCCATGGAGGTCGCAAAAGTTTTGGTTGATTTTTTTTTTTTTATATTGCCCCTGCAATTTTTTCCCACTAATTGAAATGTCTTTTAATAAACATTAACATGAATTTAACCCACTGTAGTAAACAGATAAATGAAGCCAGAAGATGTCTTTCAGTCATCAATGCACACATTAGCGACACACAGGAGCTCTTTCAAGCTGGACACCTTTTAATACACAACACCTGTCCCATCAACCAGGAATCAGAAATACTTTAATAATCCCAGGGAGGGATTACTTTCGTTACATGACACTATCTTTAATAGAGTGACTATAGGACCAGTTTACATAACACAATTTCATACAATATATATAATTAGGGGTCCCCGCTCCATCTTGCCATAAGTTTAGGGGTCCTTGGCCTGGAAAACGTTGAAGACCCCTGCTGTAGAGTCAATATCTACTTTCATAATCCTGTAAGGTCAATGACTGGATACAGTCAGCTGGTTTTTCTCAGAAAACTTTTAACCTCATCTGGTCTTATGATCCGATCCAACCTGAGCTATGAAGAGCCTTAAGATGAAACGTGTTGATTTGGTGCTTTAGAAATAAACTGAATTGAAGTTTGCTTCTTTGTCATCCAATTTTTATCCTGTTTTGGAAAGTTTTTAGGAAACAGGTTGAAGGTGTTTGGATCGGAGGAGGCAGCTTATTGCTTCTATAAATCATTCGTCCGGGTTCCCTTATTCATCTGTGGATCTCGGCGGTGGAGGAGTCGGCACAGACCGACGTGATCCTTCATTTTACCTACATCATGCATTTCACTTCTAAACACATTAAAACAGATTCAGGAATTTAAAGGTTTAAAAGTGACATCGTTTTCTACAATTAAATCAAAAACACATTTTTAAACAACAGCTTGTCATATTGTCAGAAATTGTTTGCTAAAAGTGAACATATATATATGATGTATGAACTGATCAATAAACCACGATAGGCTGGGATTTTTTAGCTTCAGAGCAAAATAAAACAAAACAAAAACACAAAGGAGTTTCTGTAGAATTATTTTTAATAGATAGAAATAAAACAGACCTAAAAGTAAAAATGATTGTACAGCAAACAAGAAAAAAAAAAAAAAAAAAAAAAAGACATCTTTATTTATTTTAACATCGATTGACTGCAGGCACCAAAGTTTAAAAAGAAAAAGACCCCAAAGAATCATCTTAAACTACAGCAACCAGTGTGTGCTGAAGCAAAGCCCAGAGAAACCAGCAAGAGAACTGGGAGATTAAAGGCCACGTCCATCAATGCAGGACAAAACCAGTCCAACACAGAACCTTGTTGTAACTTGAAAATCTCTAACAGCAACAGTTTTAATCGTCAAGCATTGTGAGGTACTTTAAAACTCATCTTTGTTTGGAGTGTATCGTCTTTTTTTTCTGCCCTGAACTGGAGCAACGTTAAGAAACAGAGACACACTTGGTTCTGCTCGGTCTGACGACCCTGAATGGCGATAGTGTTTAAAAAGAACAAGCGTCAGGAAACTGGGGGGGATTCAGCGAGTTTCTGTGTCCTGAAAGCAAAAACGGAACAAAGTGGGCTGGAAATTCAATCTCATGCATAAATGTGCCGATTTCATTTAATCGTAGTGCCGGAATTTCAATGGCTGTTTTCCTGATGGTTGGGACGGAGAAAAGCGGTTCTAGATGGGAGGAGCCCCACCCGACCCCAAACGGAGACAGACAGAAACTACGGAGGACCAGACCTGCCACGGTAACAAACACGTAAAAAAAATAACTCATAAAAATAATTGTTCGGGCAAAAAGCCATTAAGCATAACAAACAGAGGTATTTATTTTAGAAAGGATCAATTAGAAAGAAAATTGACTTCAATTTTTTTTCAAGTTTTTCTTATGTTTATTTGATCCTTTTATTTATGAATAAATTACCACAAATATACTTAAAACATGCCTCTCCCCTCAATTTCTTTTTTCATATTTCACTATTTCTAAAACATTTATCTATTTACCCAACTAATAAACTAATTATCAAATATACTTTAAGAACCCCAAGCTTGATTTACCATCTTTAAATAGTTTATCAATACTTCTTAAAAATACTCTGATATTAATTTCTCCGAATTTGGATTGGACTTTTTTTTAAATATATATATAAAAAAAAAACATTAGAAAAATACATATGTTTCTCCATATTTCATTATAATGGTAAATCAGAATTTAGGTGCAAATATAAATTTCAAGAGTGAAGCATAAATACAAAAATATATAATATATACATATTTAGTTTGTTAATTCAATGTTTATTTCTACCTAATAGCTCAATTACATGCAATTATCTCTCTCGTTTTTATCTTTTAGTGACCCAGTTACATTTTTAAAATATTTATCCATTTACGCTCTGAATTATAATAATAATGATGTATCTTATCTTAAAAGTTCCTTTTTTATAAAACTCAAAGAAAATGTACCAGAGAAAGTATTGACAAAAACAACGATGGCAGGACTGGTCCTCCGTAGGCTGTATAAAGATGTACACCACTCAGATCATGTGAACAAGGCAATCAGGTGTTTCCAATCTATAAGTGATGAAGGCAGACAGCTGAAGAAGAGGAGTTTTTGAGGGTCCCCTGTTGACGTTGAGCTCATGGATACCATGTATAACGGGGCAGAGGAGGGAGAGCTCAGGCAGACGCCGCGTCTCTGCTGCGACCAAGAGACTAGAGCAGAACTTTGGAAGAACAAAAACCTATACGTTTAAAGAGTGAAAACTTTACCACATAACCAAGTAAAACCAGATCTACCCATCAGCTTAAACGGGTCGATCAGACTCTGGTTCTGTAGGAACGTCTGACAGAGGCTCTGCTGTTCATCCGTGGTGAGCGTGAGAAAAACAAAGTGTCCATAAATGCGTCCTCCAGCCCCTACAGCATCTCCACGTAGTTCTCAGGGATCAGGCCCCTTCTTCCGTACAGCTCCCCCTCCAGCCAGCCGGGCTCCCTTGATGGAGTCACTGTGGGAGGAGGGGGCAGGAGGACAGGAATTAATGAAAGGTTCAGTTAAAAAAAAAAAAAAATATTTACATATTATAGAAATTATGTTTGATAAAGTCATTATGTTCAATATACCAATTTATGTAAAAGTTGCTGAACGTTTGAATGTTTTACTTTAGGTTCTTTGGAACAGGGAGGCGATATGAGTTGTCGCTATCTAACCTGGGTTAAGGGGGCCCAAGCTTAAAGCCAGTAAGAGGTCAGAGGTCACAGCAATGTCTGCAGGGAAAAGATTTAACCTGGACTTCATCCGCCTGTTTGAACAAAACTGTAAAAAACACTCCAGCTTTGCTTTTAAAAACCTGCTTTGGTTTCCTGTTTTATTCATTATTTAAAACAAATGATCATCTGTTGACTAATGAGCCTTCTGAGCTTTTGGGTCAGAACCACTGATTTAGGATCCAGATAATCCTTAAAGTGTTTATGCCAGACATGGGCTTTAGGATTTCCTCTGTTTTTTTATGTTTATTACTGACTGATAACGTCTAAAACATTTCTTTCCTTTCTGTTTAACAGGGAAATTTGTTTTTAAAAGGTAGTTTATTATTATTATTATTATTATGACATTTTTCTAAAGATTTCTGGAAACATCGTTTTGCTTAATTATCAAAACATTAAATCAAACAAGATTCTTTGAAACGAAGATAATAAATAATATTTTACTGCTTAGATCCAACATTAGAACTAATTAAAGAGAAGAAAACATACATAAATGTTCTTTTTTTTAAAGATGAATAGATAGATTTATCCGTACCTCAAAGGAACAAATATTCTGTAATAATAATTTAACTTTATTCAATTCACATTGGAGAAATTTAACTCTGCATTTAACCCATTCCCTTGGGGAGCAGGGGGCTGCCATTGTGCAGAGCCCAGGGAGCAGTGTGGGGTTAAAGGTCTTGTTCAGGAACCCAGAGAGAAGGCTGTGGAGATGGACCGGGTACTTGCAACCTTCTCATGGCACCATCTCTCTGCTCTAACCACTAGGCCAACCCTCCCCCATTGCCCTGAATCGTTCAGAACTTTCCAGTTAGATCTGAACCAGTCGAACCAACATGTGGACGGTGTGCTAAATGGACCCGATTAGATGGTTTACCAAGTGTTTATTAATAAATGAAAATATCAGTTTAAAAGGTCTGAGGCCTGAAAACCAAGAATACGGATGAGACTGGTTCCCCTCCTCCAAACCCACAATCCCAGAGCTGGTTCTAGGCCGGTACCACTCACCGTTACTGAATATCGCTCCGACAAGGAAGGAGAGCTCGGACTCGTGCTCGGCCTCACACGGGTACACCGCCTTGGCCTTCCTGTAGGTGGCGCTGAAAGATGAAGGCAGTCAGTGGGTTTAACAGGGTCGGTGCTGGGTTAGACCTGTTCATTCACTCACTACCGGGCCTGAAGACCTAAAAGTGGCCTTTGACAGAAGGAATTTGGCCCGACTTGGAGCATGCTGCAACATCTGGTACAGCCTGGTACTGTCTGGTACTGCCTGATTCTCCCTGGTACTTCCTGGTACAGCCTGATACCACACAAACACATCTAGAGTCTCCACTCCATCCATAACCATCAATGGTTTGTTTCTCCGGATGCTGTTTGAACTTTACGTCACGCCGATGAATTTTAAATCACCAACACCAGAAACTTCATTGGTCTCCAGAAGAAGAATTTATGTTTCTTCCCCTGAAAATGGCTGCAGAATTATTATGTTGAATCCAGGCTGCAGCTCAGGAAGCTCTGCTAAATATTTCATATTCTTTCCACCGAGGAAGAAAAACAAGCAGGAGGAAAAGCAAAGCAGAATAAAAAAATAAATAAAAAAATGGTTTGTGGTCAGAGATGGATGCGAGCAGACAGGACGACTATTTACATGAAAATGGACTTAATGGAACCGTTTGCTTGGTCCATAGCAGAACCACGGAGTGGACAGGATTTTATTCAGAGACGAGCTCTGTCCTTGATGTTTGTGAGAGGACAGGAGAGGAGACATGTCCTCAACTGCCAGAAAATACAAAAAGACCAAGAAAAATCTGGATGGAAAAAACTAAGTCTGAGTGACACCCTAAGGGACAGAGAGACACCCTAAGGGACAGAGAGACACCCTAAGGGACAGAGAGACACCCTAAGGGGAAACCCTGGGGGACAGAGAGAGACACCCTGTTTGACACCCTGAGGGACAGAAACACAACCTAAGAGACAGAGAGACACCCTGAGAGACAACCGAAGGGACAGAGGGACTAATTGAACACCGGCTTTGGTTCAGAAAAGTCGTCTCCAGGATCTTTGGACATATTTGGGATTTTTAGGATTTATTGAAACCGTTTAAATTCCAGATGGAAGAAACATAATAATTACTAAAAATGAATAAAAACTTTCTCTCTCCCAGATCAGCCTGACCCAGAACCACAGCAGGTTCAGCTCTAAATGGATCAGAACAAAAGAAAATGTCCTACTCAAAGTCTTTCTCTAAATTGGGTTAAGAAGCTTAAAATGTAATGATCTTAAACTAGAAGGAAACTGCAGGGGGTGTCAATACTTTTGCTGTTTGCAAACATATAAGCCTAGAGGTGGATAAAAAATGTATATCAATATAATTTTATACTAAAACGATGACACGCCATTTAAGATGTTTCCATATTGATTCCAGTTTAGATTTAGAGCATCTCTCACTGACGTTCCTGGTTTATTTATGTAGTTTAAAGTGTTTTATTTTTATTGTATATTTGATTTATATTAAAATTGAAATTATATTAAATCAACTGAAATAAATAAATATATTGCGATATATTGTTTGGCTGAAGCGTCCAGCCCACGTGAGCCTATATTTAGAAGGTTAGCCCTAAACGACGAACTAAGATGTTTACATTAATGGGAATTCATGTGTTTAAATCAGGAAAGACATCTAAGAAGAAAAGCAAGATCCAAAAATGGTTCCTTACCTGGGCTCCTGGTCAGCAGCAGCAGCAGCTGGATTCTCTCCTGAAGCTCCAAGAGTAGAACATGAGGCTTGAAGCGACCTGTAATTGATCATAACAGTACAGGTGCTGGTCATAAAATTAGAATATAATGAAAAAGTAGATTGATTTCAGTAATTCCATTTAAAAAGTGAAACTTGTATATTATATTCATACATTACATACAAACTCATATATTTCAGATGTTTATTTTGTTTAATTTTGATGATTACAAATGACAACAAATGAAAATCTCAAATTCATCATATCAGAAAATTAGAATATTGTGAAAAGGTTCAAAATTGATGGCCCCTGGTGCCACACTCTAATCAGCTAATTAACTCAAACCACCTGCAAAAGCCTTTAAATGGTCTTTCAGTCTAGTTCTATAGGCTACACAATCATGGGGAAGACTGCTGACTTGACAGTTGTCCAAAAGACGACCATCGACACCTTGCACAAGGAGGGCAAGACACAAAAGGTCATCGCTAAAGAGGCTGGCTGTTCACAGAGCTCAGTGTCCAAGCACATTAATAGAGAGGCGAAGGGAAGGAAAAGATGTGGTCGAAAAAAGTGTACAAGCAAGAGAGATAACCGCACCCTGGAGAGGATTGTGAAACAAAACCCATTCAAAAATGTGGGGGAGATTCACAAAGAGTGGACTGCAGCTGGAGTGAGTGCTTCAAGAACCACCACACACAGACGTATGAAAGACATGGGTTTCTGCTGTCGCATTCCTTGTGTCAAGCCACTCTTGAACCACAGACAGCGTCAGAAGCGTCTTGCCTGGGCTAAAGAGAAACAGGACTGGACTGCTGGTGAGTGGTCCAAAGTCATGTTCTCTGATGAAAGTAAATTTTGCATTTCCTTTGGAAATCAAGGTCCCAGAGTCTGGAGGAAAAGAAGAGAGGCACTTCATCCACGTTGCTTGAAGTCCAGTGTAAAGTTTCCACAGTCAGTGATGGTTTGGGGTGCCATGTCATCTGCTGGTGTTGGTCCATTGTGTTTTCTGAGGTCCAGGGTCAACGCAGCCACTTACCAGGAAGTTTTAGAGCACTTCATGCTTCCTGCAGCTGACCAACTTTTTGGAGATGCAGATTTCATTTTCCAACAGGACTTGGCACCTGCACACAGTGCCAAAGCTACCAGTACCTGGTTGAAGGACCATGGTATCCCTGTTCTTAATTGGCCAGCAAACTCTCCTGACCTTAACCCCATAGAAAATCTATGGGGTATTGTAAAGAAGAAGATGCAATACACCAGACCCAACAATTCAGTAGAGCTAAAAGCCACTATTAGAGCAACCTGGGCTATCATAACACCTGAGCAGTGCCACAGACTGATCGACTCCATGCCACGCCGCATTGCTGCAGTAATACAGGCCAAAGGAGGCCCAACTAAATACTGAGTGCTGTACATGCTCATACTTTTCATGTTCATACTTTTCAGTTGGCCAACATTTCTATAAATCCTTTGTTTTTATTGGTCTTCAGTAATATTCTAATTTTCTGATATGATGAATTTGAGATTTTCATTTGTTGTCATTTGTAATCATCAAAATTAAACAAAATAAACATCTGAAATATATGAGTTTGTATGTAATGTATGAATATAATATACAAGTTTCACTTTTTAAATGGAATTACTGAAATCAATCTACTTTTTCATGATATTCTAATTTTATGACCAGCACCTGTAAGGCTTTTGTTCAGTCTGTTCATAGAATGAACTGATTCTACAGGCCTGGTACCAAAACAGCCTTGGATCAGATCCAAACAAACTCAGCACAAACATTATTGGTTAATTACAGTGTATTGAACAATCAAGCTTGAGCCTCTTTCCAGCTGCGAACAATAAGCAGCAGATGTAAATAATAATCCCAGCTTTGGGTCAGTTCAGAAAGTAGGAATCAAGGATGTGAGCTGGAACCAAGACGCTAACGCTAGCTGCTCAGACAGAGCCTCAAACATCTCCCCATTCTGTTATTAATCCGATACCAGGTAAATACAGGGTCAGTATTGTTGATACTGATCAATGTTCAAAATATTTTAGATACATCCTAAAATGATCCATGATTAGGCTACTTGAGTATTATGAAAACAAGCTGATTAGTTTTAATAAATTAAAATCACAGATTGTCCAATGGACATCGCCATGTTGTTTACACTGCAATGCATTGTTCGACTTGGACAAACTTCATTGTTATTTTGTATACACAGTGTACACAAAAATGAAATTTAAATGCATACAGCTTTTCAACAGGAAATGAGCAGCTTAGGAGTGAAATTAACATTTCCATTTATAAAGTGCAGCAGTGATCAACATGTAAACAGTGTAGGAGAGACATGGTCTAAAGGCATTGATGTGGAAGGCTGAACACCGAGCTGAATTGTATTTAAAGGGATTTGTAAATTCGGCATATAGCAATATGCAAATATGATGTTTACAGTGTGATGCAGAGTCTTCAATTGTGACTTGATTAGAGTTTTCAACAGTTCAACAGTCTTATGGCAGCGGGAAAAAGCTGTTGCAGAACCCGCTGGTCCTGCGTCAAATCCTGCGACTTCTCTTCTCAGAGGGCAGCAGGGAAATGACAGCTCGGGCAAAACATTAATGAGTAAACCTTTTCCGTTTGAACAGGAGAATGTAGAAATCACAAGAGGTGATGGAGATGAGAAAGACCAAATGGAGGAAGAGAGGACGGTTGGTGGAAGAAGCTGCAGCGAGGACATGCTAACTTAGATGGAGAGCTATGCTACTATGAACAGCTGTTTCAAACTGAGGCTGTTAGCGGTTAGGATCAAGATCAAAACCTCATCAGAACGATGAGTTCAAATGATTAAAAGATGCTTTACTGTTACTTTAAACAGATCATTATCTCCGGATTTGATTCTGTTTTCATGTTAGCATCTGCTAATGGTGTTAGCGCTAAGTAATGTAGTAGCAAGCAGGGAAATATAATCAGGACTTGATCATTTTCAAAGTTATTTGAGATTTTACGCGTCACACTTTTTTATGTAAATAGGAAAATTACAACATCTTTAGGCAAACATGTTCAACTAGTTGTGGATCCCTTTAAAGCTTCTGACTTTTTAGGTGTTTTTTCCTCAAATCATAGCAGATATTTTTTCAAAACCAAAAACAGTCATAGAACACTGATGTTACTTTAAATACATTTCTATTTTTCAAAACTGAATGCAATGTCACTACCCCATCCTTACCGTCAGCTTATTTGCGTTACCAGTATTGATCAGGTACCAAAACTGTAAGTCATCGTTCTAAGCCTCATGTCATCTAAGCCTAATATTTCCTTCTTTTCTATTATTTTCTTTTTTTTTTTTCCATTTGAACCCACTTTATGGCCCATATCTGCTCGCTTAAACTTTTAGTTTGCAGGAACTTTTAAATTTGCAGTGAAGTCTTGTTTTTACACATTTGTTTCCCTCGTCCTGGAGAGTTATAACAGGTTAGACCTGCTAAAACGAGGAAAGGAAGGACGGTCAGAGATCTTAAACTCTGCAGGCTGAACGTTTGTATCAACCAAAGGAGCTTCAATTAAAGGAGGCATTAGCGGTGCATAATCTCAACATTCACATCTGAATTAAAATCTTTTATTAGTGCAGCTGCTTTTATAGATCACCATTCCTTACATTTCCCTAAAGCATTTCTCAATAGATGTTATTTCAGTCAGAAATAAAGGGATATTTTGTGTTTGAAAACAAATATTCAATTGAAACCAAACTGGAATTCATTCTGTTTAATTCTGTGTCTGGCGTTCTGTTTTTAGGGTCAGAGCACAAAAGGTCCAACCGTGTCAAAGCTCTCCACTCAGGCGGCTGTCGTCAGAGCCAGCAGGGAGGCAGGGGTCCAGTTAAAGGCAGGGTGCAGCCAGGCCTCCCTCTGTGCTCCATGCCGGCCCCGGGGCCGCTGCTAATCCTGCACATAATGAGCAAATTGCTCCTGGATGCTGCTCCCATAGAGACGCTAATAAAGGCAATTAGAGGGAGCAGCTGGGAGGGGCTGATGTGGGAGGGGTGTTGGTACTGCTGGCAGCGGTGGAGGTGAGGCGGTGAGCATTGGCTGCTCGGTGAAGGTGAACACGGCGCTGTGCTCCTCGTCCATCCCCAGCGGTCGCTGCTCAGTTCTGCCCCGGCCCAACTGTGGGTGATTTATGGCTCTGCAGCAGAGTGGAGGTGCTGTGGTGCTCAGCTGCTCCACATCAGCATGGGGGGTGGGGGAGTGGGGGGGACAGTGCGCTGCAGTGCAGCAAATCTACTCATTAACCTGAACCCAAACACAATCACCGTCGGCCTGGGCCGGAGCCAGGAGGAGGAAGAGGAGCACCAACACTTCATCCACGCAGCCAGAACCAGACCTCTAGAGCTGAGCTTCCTCAGCATTTCCACAAAATTTAAACAGACTGAGAATTTCCCTGAAAAAATACATTAAATTATTACATTTATTTAGAAATGGAAAGATAATTAAATATATTAATATCAATATAATTAACATAAAATTTTATTCTTTGTCGGTTTTAAAATTTTATGTAATAATAATTAATACGATAATAATGTTCAATCATGAATTAAATCAGGGTCTCCCAAACATTTCAGCTTGTGGCCAAAAGCAAAAACAACCCCTAAACAAACGTTTTTTAAATAAGTTGATTTTTTTAAATGAAATTGAATCATTTTATCTATCAATTTAAATGTAATCTTGTGAAACCCATCTCCCGCCCACCCCTCATTGGGAACAGCTCCTGTAGAGGAGCTTCATCTGGACTCTGCTGGGACATAAAGACTGGATCATAAATCAAAAGGAGCTTCAGAACATCTGAGATCAACGTTTGGAGTTAAATTTGGTTCTCAAGTTTCTTCACACAGAGCTCTGCCTGCTGATCAAGTTTTTTCTGATAAATTAAACCAGACTGTCAATAAGAACTCATAAAATACAACTGGCATCAGATGAAGGACTTTTTAAAGGCTACAGCCTCAAACACAAAGCAGCACCAATTAAGTTACAGAAACAAAGAAAAATTCTGGCTCTGTGCAAATGGACCAAAG